CTTAGGGGTAAATCCTTGAGTCTGTCTTCCCAATCATTTATAGCAAATGGATGTTACTCATGATGCAGAATTTGGTGAACTAAAATATGTGCATTTGACAGTCAATACCTATTCATGTTTTTTGATGGCTATTGGGCAAATTGGGGAAGCTACCAAGCATGGGATAGCTCATTTCTTAAGATGTTTTTCATATGTGGGGATTCCTAAAATTATAAAACAGATAATGGTTTGGGATATATTAGTAAAGCATTTCAGCAATTTTGTTCCCAATGGAAAATTGAGCATAATACAGTCATTCCTTATAATCCTAAAAGACAAGGTATGGTTGAATGAGCCCATGGTAGTCTCAAGATCCATCTTCAAAAAATAAAAAGGGGGACTTATATCCTCAGTCTCCATATAATGCATTCAATTATTCCCCTTTATTTTAAATAGTTTGAAATTGGATGCCCATGAGCAATCTGCCACATATAGATTTCGGCATTATGGCATTCGAAAAACTTCTGCTGAGGTGAAATGGAAGGACCTTTTCACTGGGTTATGGAAGGGAAACAATCCTCTTTTGATAAGGGGTCGAGGGCATGTTTGTGTTTTTTCACAGGAAGAAAATGAAGCTAGATGGTTGCCTCAGCATTTGGGGTGGTGTACAGAAGATAGGATTGCCAGGCCAGATGATACTGTGGTTGCTTATGCTTTCCCAGAGGGGTTGGAGTGAGATTTACTGAACTCATGTTCCTGATTCCCCAATATTTCATCCTCTAGTCTGGAAAAGGAAGGAGATTATGGTTATGGTTAATGATTCTCAGCTTCTTGATAGACATGTTACACAATTTTCCCAACCTCTGTGAGTATTAATTATTCTAGATCCAGCTGAGAAATACTTCCCTGTTTTTCCAAAATAAACCTTTGTTTGGGTGCTTGACCACTTATCCACATTATATCTTGTGACAAGGAGGTCACTTTTGCCATTATTGTGTTTATCTTTTGTTGTCAAAAGGAAATAGAAGACCTGAAAACAAGTGCCTCAGAGATTTTCCCTCTGAGGGAAAGAGACTTATTGGAGCAATCCAACACTATTATGAAAGCGATGTGTGGCTGAAGCCTCTCTTAGTATACTATCACTGAATTTCAGAGATATGTGCTAGACTGGTCAGGAAACCAAATTAGGAGGTACTAAAGAGGCCCTCCAAAATGATTAGGAGGAGTGGGATGAAAGTTTTGCTGTTGGTATTTGGTACTTGGGGACTGGAGCAACCGAAAGTTAGCTTTGGAAGCCACTGCCTGTGATGCATTGGATTTTAGGATAGGGAAAATAAGACATTCAGAATTATGGAGTTACTCTTATCACACTCATAACAAAAACACATTTTCTTGTCTCTAAAATAGATCAGTATTAGGTTGTGTTAATGCACAATCTTTTAATGTAAGTTATGAGAATTGTAATTAACCATTTTTAATAATCATACTAGAATTATGATGTTAACTCATTATTGTTTGTAACCTCTTCTTTAACAATGAAAGTGTTACTGGTTGGAAAAAGGTTAGAGCTCACCTGAGAGGAATTTAGTGTGATGGTATTGAGTCCTTAGATTTGATGTGATTAAAAAAGAAATGTTGGATTTTGATGCAGCTAAAACTGCTAAAGACATCCTTGACCAATTTAACAAGGTCATTCCATCTTAATCATCCTTTACTCCCTTATTAGAGTATATTGCAGTCACAGGAACATGTGTATTGCTAGGCTTTATTTGCTTGTCTATTATTATCAAGTTATTTGTGGACTCTTGGTGGAAAGTTGGTTCAGAGTTACATGGTGTTAAGCTCTGCATCCTCCATTGAAATTTTCTAGAGGCTGGTAGTTAAAGACAGATAAGTCCTTTTCACCATTCTACTACCTGAGCAGTGAATGAATGATGGAATTCATGAGACTAAGATGGATAAGACTGGTTAGTTGAAAAAGGCAACCTAATACAGGAACATTCATCTGAGGGGTTCAGGGCACCCTTAGAAAATAAAGGGGGGAATTGTGAGATCCCACAGGGACTCCAGCTTGTGGCTTGATTCCATCTTGACTTAAGTTCAGAGAGTTCAAATTTGGCTTTGCTACTTAAGGCTGAATAACAGGACGTTTGGCCAAAGAACTGGTTACTAGATGTCTTGCTCATCAAGGCCAAGTAACAGGGTGTTTGGTCAAAGGTGTGGTTACTAAATGTTTTGATAATTAAGGATGTGTTTATGCTTATTTGTTCCTTGAACCATGGTAAGAAGGTCTTCCCATCCTCTCCCCCCCCAATCTTTTTTTTTTTTTTTGGTTTTTCGAGACAGGGTTTCTCTGTGTAGCTTTATGCCTTTCCTGGAACTCACTTGGTAGCCCAGGCTGGCCTCGAACTCACAGAGATCCGCCTGGCTCTGCCTCCCGAGTGCTGGGAATAAAGGCATGCACCACCACTGCCCGGCTATCTCCCCCCAATCTTGTTTTGGGTATTAAAGGGCTATGATAAATAAATTCGGGGCTGCTGCAGTATTCACTGTGAGCCATCCTGATTCTATCTTCTGTCTTTTGTCTTTTTCTTTCTTAATCCTCACTCCCATATTCAGGTACTCTTGGACAGGTCAGCTGGTCCCTACAGTACACTCCACATAGCTGCATACTTACTGTCTTCACAGGTGAGATGATAATTGGAGGGAAACACATGGAATCACACAGCCATATCTCAGATATTGGCTGCCTCCTTATAGCATATGTCCCAGATAAAGAGACTTTGGAAGTAGGATCAGTAACTCAGAAAAGATCTAGTGTTGTATGCTTCATATTGCATTGTGCAAGTAGATTTTGTAGCTGGAAGTTTCTCTCTTCCTGCCTGGCCCTGCAAATGGGATGAATTCCCCCAACCAATGGTCCTGCAACTACTTGTAACTCAGGCTTATTTTATTTACAATCTTATGGCCTATGGCTTTAGCTTATATTAGCTAGCTCTTTCAACTTAACTCAACCCATTCCTATTAATCCACATGTTGCTGCATGGCTTTGTGGAATTACTTATTCTCTCATATCTTGCTTCTCCTGGCAACAGCTCACAGCATCTGCTCTGACCCAAATTTTCTTCTCTCTCTCAATTGGATTTCCCACTTGGTTCCATTCTGCCCTGCCATAGGTCAACGCAGATTTATTTATTAACAAATGGGAGCAACAGATAGTCACAGCATATAGAAAGACATCCCACAACACTTCCCCTTTTTTGTCTAAATACGAAGGAGACTTTTAACTTTAACAATAAAGTTTTATATAACAAAAGTTGTCAAACAAGAGTTACAGTATCTAATCTATTTGTATTTGGTAAAATTAAAGAAAATATTCTATCATCTATCCTATATTTGTGAACCTAAACTTTTATACCTTATTTACCTTTTATCATAACAAAGAAAAACTATATTTATAACTATCTAGTCCAACTCCATCAAAGACCCCAGAAAGATATAATATTACCTAAGTAAACAGGATTGCATTGTAAGCAACTTTCAAAATTCTAGAAATGACAGAGGCATCTGGCTGCCTGGAAAGTCATCCAAATTTCCTCTTTAAACTAGAGGCATCTATCTTCAGCCTATTGGCCTATAGTTTGTCAGTTACTTCTCCCTGTTTCCTGAAAAATGTCTAGCAGCCTCCTCTGCAAAGAAATAACCTGGAGGACCACCTTGCTTTTTTTTGCAAAATTCAGGGTTCATTTTTCTATGGGTCCTGCATGTCCAAGTTATAATTATAAGACATACTATCAAGCAATTCAGTAAAGAGCAGTTTTTTTTTCCCAGATGGTTAACTCTTGTCATAAAGAAAGCAAGCTCCATGTGGAGTTTCTTCAATGCTCATCATCTTCTCTGAAGTAGTTGGTGCTGCAAGGAGCAGACATGTCTCAATGTTCAGAAAAGTCTAAGTTCTTAAAATAGTGCAAATGCCATATTTTGTATGTTTTTGAAGTGTTTGATGATAACCTACCCACTTGAAATACACATTTGTATATCTAAAAAATCTTAACATGACTATAAATTTGAGTATTAGCTGGGTGGTGGTGGAACATGCCTTTAATCCCAGCACTCTGGAGGCAGAGCCTGGTGGATCTCTGTGAGTTTGAGGCTAGCCTGGTCTATAGAGTGAGATCCAGGGCAGGCATCAAAACTATGCATAGAAACTCATCTCGAAAAACCAAAAAACAATTAACTATTAAGTTTGTATTTCTTAACTGTATATTACATTTTTAAATGAGCTACATAAACATAATACCTTCAACAGAAATAAAAATATATAAACAGTGTAACAAAATTAACTTTAAATTTGTATCAATAAACCCAAATCCATAGCAATGTAAAACATTTCAAACAAATTGTTGCTCTTTAAAAGTAGGTTTAATAATCTATCCTTTTATCCTATCATATCTATATCCCCTTTTCTTTTTAGAAAAAGTTTGCATTTATAATCAACCACCGTTAAATTTGGGCATAACTTCTAATACTACTTCCTGTTTGTTGGGGGTTCTGGCAATCTTATGGGGATCCTGAGAAAATTAAGAGGTATAGTTAAAATATGGCTGTAGTAGTGTTTGAGGCGTTATCGACCTTTCAGGGATTCTTGGTCAAACCATATTAGACTAGAAACAATCCACAGGTTCTAATCTTTTGTGGAAACAAAAGCAGAATGTCTTTTCCAAAGCAACATATTCCTAGACACAAATTTTAAAGTCAAGATACCTTTAAAATATACATATTGGTTTAACTGAGGAGCCTTTATAATCAAATCTCTCTCTCCAGTTAAGAATCCCAAAGATGGTTCTAGAATGTTGTGAATGAAGGGGAAGGAGGAGAAGCGCTTAAAGCGGCGGGGCCGGTTGTGGGACTGGGTTGGCCTTAGGGCTGAGGCAGGCCCGTCTCTCCCGCCTAGGTGGATCATGCCCAGGGAAGCAGCTTAGGCGGTGGTGAGTGACTGGGTGGTGCCAGCGCCTGAGAGGATGCCTTTTCCAGTTACAACGCAGGGATCACAACAAATGCAGCTCAAACAGAGGCACTATGGCATTACCTCTCCTATCAGCTTAGCGGCCCCCAAGGAGACTGACTGTCTACTCACACAGAAACTCATTGAGACTCTGAAACCCTTTGGGGTTTTTGAAGAAGAAGTGGAATTGCAGCACAGGAGTTTAATTTTGGGAAAATTAAATAACCTGGTGAAAGAATGGATACGAGAAATCACTGAAAGCAAGAATCTTCCACAATCTGTAATTGAAAATATTGGAGGAAAAATTTTTACATTTGGATCTTACAGACTAGGAGTACATACGAAAGGTGCCGATATTGATGCATTGTGTGTTGTACCAAGACATGTTGATCGGAGTGACTTTTTCACCTCATTCTATGATAAATTGAAATTACAAGAAGAAGTAAAAGACTTAAGAGCTGTTGAAAAGGCATTTTACCAGTTATCAAACTCTATTTTGATGGAATAGAGATTGATATTTTGTTTGCAAGATTATCACTGCAGGCTATTTCAGAAGATTTAGACCTACGAGATGACAGTCTGCTTAAAAACCTACATACAAGATGCATAAGAAGCTTTAATGGTTGCAGGGTAACCGATGAGATTTTACATCTAGTACCAAACATTGACAACTTCAAGTTAACTCTGAGAGCCATCAAACTGTGGGCCAAATGGCACAACATCTATTCCAATTTATTACGTTTCCTTGGAGGTGTTTTCTGGGCTATGCTTGTGGCAAGAACTTGCCAGCTTTATCCAAATGCAATGGCATCAACTTTTGTACATAGATTTTTCTTGATATTTTTTAAATGGGAATGGCCAAATCTAGTGCTATTGAAACAGCCTGAAGAATGCAATCTTAATTTGCCTGTGTGGGACCCAAGGGTAAACCCCAGTGATAGGTACCATCTTATGCCTATAATTACACCAGCATACCCACAGCAGAACTCCACGGACAATGTGTCCGTTTCAACATGGATTGTCATGGTTGAGGAGTTTAAACAAGGTCTTGCTATCACAGATGAAATTTTGCTGAGTAAGGCAGAGTGGTCCAAACTTTTTGAAGCTCCAAACATCTTTCAGAATTACAAGTATGTATTTTAATTCATGTCAGCCACGTTGCTCTTAAGTACTGTTTTAACAGTGGCCTATGTGGTATATTCTCTTGCCAGATTAGTGAACTTTGTAGTCTCTCCTCCGGTGTCTGTAGAGTTTTCCTTACTGTTGCAAAGGACTTAGGAGTTTTAGTCAACTGTTGTTTTTCCCTTTATCAGTACAATGTGTCAGCCTTAGAGTTTTGTTGCTTGATTGACTTAGCATTCCTACTGTGTGTCAGCAGCTCAGTTCTAGGTGTGCAACTTGTCACCAGCACAGTCTGCACCTTAGCAAGCAGGTGAGATTTTCACTATCTGATTTCTGTTCTCTCTCAAGAAACTTCTTACATTTAATTCTGACAACTTACAAGGGTATTTAAAACATGCACAGACCCAATAAAATGTCAGTGTTCAGCTGATTTAATGTTTCTAGTAATTAGTAGCACATCATTGACCTACTATTTCCCCTTTCAAAAAAAATATGTCTGCAAACAGTTTCTAACAATTTAAGTGGTATAATTTTTACTAATGTCTTTAATATAATGTGTTAACACCTTAGAGGTTAAAAGCGTCATGAATTGTGTTGTGTTGAAAAATGTAAGTTACAATAAATTTTAAAGAAATAACAAAAAACCAAAAAAAAAAAAATCCCAAAGACAACACAATCCAGACTGGCTGTGTTATTTCCATCTTTGTGTGGCTTAACTTTTTATATTACTTTATTCTCTTTTTTAGCGATTTAAGTTTATTATTTAAATATTAGATAGATAGATAGATAGATAGATAGATAGATAGATAGATAGATCATACATATTATGATTGTCTATACCTTCTGACCATTGTTTTAAGTTGCAGTGTGGCTAGGACCAAAGCAGCAGACTTGGGTGCTGACTCCACTCCTCTTGGCTTCTTAACGTGGCAGAGCTATGTTTACCACCAACTCTAGGAAGCAGTGGGTCTATGCCTCCATCAAGCAGTGTGCAGCCCAGAAACCCCTTTTCTTTGTCTGTACTAGCAAAAGCTAAATCCACCACGTAGTGCACTGCATGGCTTGGAGACATGTCTGTGTACTATGGTGGGAATCTGCCATGCTGTAGGTCAAGTCCACATGCCCTGAACACACCATACTGTAGCTCAAGCCTCCATGCTGAGGCATCTTTGTATTATGGCTTGACTGAGAGACACAACTAGGAAGCTGCTCTTCATTCCATTTTAGAACCCTTTTTAAATTTTTCTCAGGTTTTGGGTGGAAATTCTTTCTAAAGTGTTGGGGATCAAATGTAGCCAGAAGTTTCTGGGGTCCTGCCCAGTCCTAATGTGGGGATGAATTTATCCTACCCATGGTTCCACAGTCACTTATAAAATAATCATCCAGAGGCTTATATTAATTACACACTGTATGGCTTATGGCTTTAGTTCATATTAGCTAGCTCCTTTAACTTAACTCAAACCATTACTATTCATCTATGTGTTGCCACATGGCTTTGGGGCACTACCTGTTCTCTCATGTGTTGATTCTCTTGGCAGTGGCTCACAGCACCTGCCCTCCCCCTGCTTTTCTTCTCTATCTCTCTTAGATTTCACACCTGGCTCCATTCTACCCTGCCATAGGCCAATGCAGCTTTATTTATTAACCAATGGGAGCAACACTTATTCACAGTATACAGAAAGATAGCCCAAAACAAAAGTTCATAAAGGAAATCCCATGTCAAGAGTGTGGGTAAGTGGCCCTATCAAAATGGGAGTGTGGATTGAACCTGTGTGTATGTCAAAATTGTAAAGGAAGGAGAGACACCACTGAGGAATAGGGTTAGTCACCAAAGATACATGTGGTTCTGGACATTTAACATTGCCGAATTCTGCAAATATTTAATATATTCTATAGTGACAATACTTATGGAGTAAAGAAAAGAGTGGTTTAAGGTGTTCTCCCAATCTCCAAAAAGGATTTAATCTTTCAGTTATGAAGAGTGTAAATGAGCAGAACAAAGGAGGATGAATGCAGTTAATAATCAGTATTCTTTACTGAACCATGATTAAGTCCATATTTTGTTGACCGTAGGGCTCATTTGCAAAGTGGTCACTGTGGTTGGTGATATATGTATTACTGAATGTGATTGTCGTGATTAGGATACCAAATTCACATATCCTAAATCTTCCCATTTTTCTTTTTTATATGCAGTATTTGCTAATTAAATATTTTAAGTTATACAAAAGAAAATTAAAACACAACCAAGTACACTGGAAACACAATATTATGTTAATAATCTGCTATTTAACTAGCATTATAAGAATCATAAAATATATTAATATTGATGTTGGTAGTGTGCATGATGGTTTTGTACTTGGAATTACAACTAGCATTAATTTCTAAGATTAATTGATTTGTTCCCAGAATGACAGTCCATATGATAATGGAAAGATGTCTTTACATAAATTTAAGTAAAACAAAATAAATTGAGAAAATGTTTGAATCTATTCAACAAATGTGCATAGTGTGGGGTCCCTTGGGTCATTTTCTCTATAATGTAGGTAAGGAGAGTTAAGGAAATGCTGTGCATCTGATGCCAGCTGTTAGAGGTTAGATGCCCTGCAGTCAGTTTTCAAAATATTGAAATCACATAGAAATTAACGAACCATGGTGTAAGAGTTTGAAAGTGATGAGTTTGGATATGTATAAGATGAACAATGAAAACTTTTTGATATCCTCAAATTCATTTGTGAACTGAAAGTGATCCTAAGAAATTGTGTAAAAATGTCTACATTTGAACTCTTCCCAGTTTAGACAATTAACTTTCATTTTTTACACAGTTTTGCATATATATCTTGTATATTAATATTTTCTCCACTGTTATATTAATAGCCAACACTTTTGTATTCTGCTGGTATTCATCAAGTTTTTTGTGTGTGATTTGAGACAGAAGACAGATTATATTTCTCACATTCAATATTTGAAAATGTATTTGCGTTTATTGTCCAAAATACATGGAATTGTTTTTAACAGTTCTGCAACACATAACACCTATATTCCTCACGTGGATATAGGAAAGATTATTTGAAACCGTACAGGTTTCGAGGTAGTACCTCAAGTTTGAACATGATTCATTATGGGGCAAGTTGCTATCACATTATAGCATCTGTTAGTTGCTGTAAATATTCACCCATGACTTATAGTGACCTGTAAATAGAAGTTTAATATTTATTTGTATACATGATGTAAAAAATAGCTCAAAGGCCCAGCATTGTAGGCTGAGCATTTATGTGTAAGAGAAAATGAAATACTGTAAACTGCATTTGAAGAAACCATCAAAATAGCAGTCAGTGCAATGCATTGTAACTTTGCACATTTTCTCAATTGCCATTCATCCAGGTTCAAGCCTTTGTCTTAACTCTGCTTTACAAAGGATTGCTGCAGACCATAGAAGCTTTTAGGCTGAAAGTTTTTTGTAACTGATTGTGAATGCAAGCTCTTTCTCTACCTTGAAAAAATGGGCAGCAGTACATGTATTTGAAGTAGCAGCTTCATAAGTGTTTTCCAGGCCATTACCATCAGCCACAGGGACTCCAGGTGAGCAGAGATTAGAGACAAAACATTCCAGCACAGTGGTTTATTCCTATGCTTCTGTTGCATTCTGAACATCTTCATAAATTCTTATAATCTTCTCCATGTGACTTGAAAATTGGAAGGCAGAAACATAAGTATACAAGACTGTGGGTACTACTCTGTTATTCTTGACAAAACTGGCACAATCTGCATGCTGTGTTTCTACCTCTCTTTGATGATGTATGTGGGGACCTCAAGGTCTGAGTCAGCATATCAACTGCTCTTACCCTGTATAGCCCCAATCAGAGAATGCAACACATGCCTTCTAACAAACCTTCCCCAAAATCTTCCACTGAGTCGAAGGCTATCAAGACCATCCTTCATGAAGTGAGTACATTTGTTTTCTTTTATATAATTGCTTGTCTCTTTCAACTGTTTCTGGTGTTCTTGAATAAGACTAGCTAGCTCCTGCTAAATACGTTCATAGTTATCTCTGGGTATTTCCCAGCTGTGAGTCGCTTTCTGCTCATGAGTTACGTTTCTATAGCATCCAGCCACTCTGTTCCCTGGATGAAAAATTTAAAAGAACCTGATATGATTAAAAACATAAACTGAAGCACAGTACATGGTTCTTGATTAATCCCTAATGCCTGAGAATGGTATGTACATTGTGGACAACCATCACACAAGAATATTGGTGTGCGTGTATAAACTTTTGTGTTGTAATTTGTGTATGTGCCTTAATGCATCTATGTTTAGTTAAGTGCATAAAAACACTCACTCAGGTCCTGTTTACCCTACTTCATGCAATGTATTTGTCAAGTTTTTGGTAACACATTGTAATCTACAAAGCTAAATAAAAATACATGTGTAAAATTTAGATTTCTGAAAAAATAATTTACTATGATCATGATACACTAACAAGAGCCATTATGTTCATGTTTTCTTGATATGTGTGGTGACTAGCTTGTTAAATAAAACTTACTTCTTCTTTCTCTGATTCTATTCTTGTGTCAGTATCTGTACATCTTGAGAGCCACATCTATTTTAATGCTATGAAATATTATTAGACATGGACAACTGGAAATAGTCATGTGTTAAAAAGCAATGAATGCATATAGAAAACTTATGATCCAATGTCTGGTTTTGACACTTCTTCAGATTCCCTCTAATTATTTTTTATGTTAATGTCTTTTGGTAATTCACATTCTGTCATTAAAAACCTTATCCTGCCGGGCAGTGGTGGCGCACGCCTTTAATCCCAGCACTCGGGAGGCAGAGCCAGGCGGATCTCTGTGAGTTCGAGGCCAGCCTGGGCTACCAAGTGAGTCCCAGGAAAGGCGCAAAGCTACACAGAGAAACCCTGTCTCGAAAAACCAAAAAAAAAAAAAAAAAAAAAAAAAAAACCTTATCCTAAAAATAAAGCTGTCTACTGCACTCTCTGTCCAACTTGCTCTTAGGAGTCTTGACAT